GGAGTTGTTTAGGTCAACGTTTACTTGGTCAATGTTTGAATTTTAATACAAAGTTGTTGATTTTTCCTAGAAAAGTCTAATAATTAATATAATATTTTTCCAGGTAATATTTTGATAAAAATTCATTTTTTGAGGCTAACAGGGTTTGGAATCGAAAATTAGTCTTTAACTGGTTACCCAAGTATTTAAATGTTTAAAATTTTACATCTTAGATATTGAAATGGATGTTTTATAAGTATGTTATTCAAAATAGAAATCAAGTTAAAGTACGTTATTTTTCATGCAATTTGCCCTATTATATAATAGTTGCATCTAATTTAAATTCTATTCTTTGGTTTCAAACAAATGACATAGGATTAGGATCGTGTGAGAAGAAGAGTTAAGGTGAAAAAAGTAATAACGGATCTAAAGTCTGGACTCTTGATTACCTTTAATCTCAAACAAACCCATGAATCACGTTTGATATGTGGATTGATCTGATGCATATCATCCTAATTAATTTGCATCCAAGAGTGGAGATCACTTCTTACGTTTTTCATATTTAACTCTCATGTTCATCAAAACTCAACCTTAATACAAATAAATAAAATTCCGGATTAATTTATTTATTTACTTATTGTGTTCTATTTGGGTAGAAAATAKCTATTTTTTATTTCAAATAAAATGAATTTATTAGTATATAAGAAAGTGGGGTTTCACTTTGGTCCTTGACCTGTTATGTGTTTTTTTATTTATGCTCACTTTTTTTTAATAAGTTAATGGAGATTTCTTATAAAAAAACATACTTTCCATTTTCTGAGTTTCTTACACAGATGTGAAATTATGTGAGATTAGGTTGTTTTTTGAGACACGTGAGACAATTTTTTTACACTTAAAACTTCACAGCAAAACATTATGTAGGTAACTTTCACAGTATTTTTTCTGTGAAAGTTCGGATTTTTTTTACATTCACAACATTTTGTTGTGAATTTTTAAGTTGAAAAATGTTGACTCACGTGTCTTATGAAAACGGACTTGTCTCATGTGAATCCAATCTTTCTTGCACATACATTTTGTATTCCTTTTTATAACGTATTTGGTATGACTATGTATAGAAAAATTTGTGATTTCGTTGCAGTGAGGGAATAGATGTCCAGGAACCGAAAAGATGAAGATATTCACCATAACCGAAAATATATCTTTTTACCCCTTTTCTTGATCTTTCTTTTTTGTCCTTACCTTTCGTCAAAATAAGAAGGTCGATCAAAGGCTTCTAAATACCATTAGAAGAAATCATCAAAAACACTGAATATATACAAAAAAGTGTTTGTGCAAATTCAAATCCAAACATTATAAACATATATTACAAATCCATCTAAATTCATTCATAAAAAATAAAAATACAAAACCTAGGTATTCTAAATCAAAACCCTACATTCTCAAGATTTTAAGTTTCGCCGCACTTAACCGGTCCGAAACCTCAAATCTAACGATATCCTAAATCCAGATGACCCATCGTTGCAATGAGGCTCGATCCAAGATGGAAAACTGAAACAAACAGAATGGTTTAACCGTTGAATGATTTAATCGTTCATCGTCAACTGTAAAGGGGGAGACGGCATAGAGAATAAGTCGGCGACTCCTAGATTTTTCTAGTGATGATTTTATTTCAAACGGTGATGTTTTCTTATTTCCTTTTGGGCATTTTTTTAGGACGATGTATGGAGTTAGTGGCCGTTGTTGATGATAGTGGATAAGAAAAGGTCAAGTAAAACTAAAAATAAAAGCTCAAATGAAGTTTTTGGTCAATTGATTAAGTAACATTTTCTTTCTTTAAAATACTACAAATAAAATCTAATGTTGACATGAAAATTGACCAATTAATGGCTTATTAATTAAGGACAAAGTTTGGTGATATATGTGGTGTGCATTTTGTGTTRGCCTTCTTTACTTGGTCAATAACTTGAAGTGTACGTGTAATATTCAAACATTTTACCATCTCAATATACACTTAATCTCAAAGAATTATCAAAACAAGAAGAACCAATATTTATCTATCGGGAATATAAGTCATTCATAGAGACATCATGTTCTGTAGAGCGTTGTGAACCTGTACTTGAAGTGTACTCTTCGAAGAGGGGTTTTTCTGTCTTCGTGCTCGTATGGATGAAAAAAGCAGGCTCTGAAGGGACGGCGAGCGTTAGAGAGAAACTACCAAGCATGAGAATTACTGAAGCCATAGTTGGTCTATCAGTAACGTCTTCTTGAACACATAATAGACCAATGTGGATGCATCTAATCATATCACGTACGGAATTTGAACCATCTTTTAGTGTAGGATCAATCAAACTTGAAATCGTTCCATCTCTCCAACTTTTCCATGCCTAAAGATGAACAAATTGCAACAAATAAATAAACCAAAAAATTATATACTTTTTTGAAGAAATAAAAACATATTAGAAGCTATATGTCAACACTTACATGGCTAAGAAGATCCTCCACCATCGTCCCATTTTGGAAACTATGGTTCTTACAACCGGTTACTATTTCRAGTACTAATACACCGAAACTATAAACATCTGATTTAACTGAAAATTGTCCATGCATTGCATACTCTGGTGCCATGTATCCACTAGTACGACAAAAGTGCATGTTAGTTAGTACATGGAYGAAGGTTAACCGTTAGTATTTTCACTACCACATTACTTTTTGTGATGGTGAAAATGTTAGACACCGAATATGATGTTAATTCATATAATAATCTTTTAACAACGAATTTTGCAACTAACGATAATGAAACAACATTGAACGACATATTTTTATAGTAAGACTTACTAGGTTCCGACGATTCGACTAGTGTTGACTTGTGTTTCATCAAGYGTGACCAACCTTGCCATACCAAAATCCGCAATTTTAGCAATCATATTGACATCCAATAAAACGTTACTAGCTTTCATATCCCGATGAATAATCTTTAGCCGTGAATCCTCATGTAGATATAGAAGTCCCTTTGCAACACCATGTATTATTTTGTATCGTATTTCCCAATCTAGACTTGCACGTTTCACTGGATCTAGATATTTTGAAAATCAAGAATGAATATATCATCAAAAGAATGCAWTTCTRTMAATTAAAAGCAATMTGTCGAAAAATATAAGCTCAATAAAGTCGACTTACCAAATATAAATTGGTCTAGACTTGCATTTTGTACAWACTCATACATCAAAAGTCGTTCAGACCCTTCTAGGCTAAACCCTAGGAGACGAACCAAATTCCGATGTTGGAGCCTTGCAAGTAACAAAACCTCATTCTTGAATTCTTGTTCACCTTGTCCCGAATTATTCGACARCCTCTTCACTGCTATTTCTTKYCCATTTGGTAACTTACCCTGAGAATTTTGSTTCATTAGAATTATYGGTWTCTAAAAWTAATCTTGAAAATGGTCTTCCATGGCACAATAGTTTATATCYTTGTAGTGTGTTGTTTACCTTATAAACGGAACCAAATCCACCTTGTCCAAGCTTATTGTTCTCTGAAAAGTCATCTGTTGCTGCTCTAATGACAGCAAAGYTATATTGCAACGATTCGGCTGTAGTAATTTCATCGACATCTACGTCTTCGGAAACTAGAATTATCGTCACAAAATATTAAGGAACTGCAAATGCTAAGGTTGTAACATGTAGGAAGTAAGAAAGAAAAAATAACGAAAACCCACCTAGATTCTGCGACAGCCTTCCTTCGATATTCCTTTTTCTTCTCATGAATATGCAAACGAAAGTCGCTACCAGTATCACAAGACTAATGGTTGCAACGACGGCAATGATGATTATAATAGACGKGTTACTACTCTTGTCTGAAAATGTCATTGGAAAAGAAAMCGAACATTAGTGTAATTGTACTAGGACCACAATAGTGGTGTTACTACTCTTCCCTCCTTTCGATGTCCAATTTTCTCAAAAGAAAACTATAGATTAGATTTTCAAAGYTCATTATTTCGTCAAAAAKTAAACAAATTCTTGTCGCATAGTKTTCATTCTATATATACGGGATGTTGGCCAAACGTATATATACCTGATGGTGGCGGCAGTGGTGGAGACAACTCCGTTGGCGGTGGTGGTGACGCTGGTGGTGGCGATGGTGGTGGTGCAAGAGCCAGTGTAGCATTAAAAAAYCGGTAATCTTCATACCTGAGATCGCAGCTAGGATATACAACTCYTCCTCCACGTTTTCCATMACAACAATTTGGGATTTGTTGCATTGCACTATTCAAGCAATTTTCACATTGACCCTYAGATAAATCGGGTGTGCACTGCATGACCCCATAGATGGTTGTCAACCAAGGGCCATTTGTGCTGGTCCCGGAAGCATATTTACGACTAGACCCACCACTCGAAGCATTATTTCTTAGTTGGTTCAACAGCTGGTTGAGCGCTTGATTAARYYGATCCACGTCCGACACGTTGTTAACGTTCCAGWAGAGAAGCCCAYYATTAGTGTCTGGATTTCCCAAAATGGTTTCATTAGAGTACCTCACCATACAATTWCCATYCGACCATWGATCCRTTGCAMCCTTTTGGTTAGGACAACTCTCTCTTAGTCTTCTTCTAGWGTCATTTATGCACCGACGACAATCATCTGGCTCAACGTCACCTCTACATAACGCCATCACGTTCGCTTTATTGGGRTTTTCACCAACAGACCGRTTATAGAAGCCGTATGTGATACTGGTATCAGAGGTGAGGGACGACAAAGCATTGTCAAGATTTCTTTGGTACGCACTGTTTGAAGTGAAATTCGCGTTATTGTTGCATTGAGAGACCGAAAGCACGAATAAATTTACGACAATAACAATAAAAAATGAAATCGACACTCGGATTACCATCAACATGGTCTCAACAAAATGGAAAACTATGGATGTTGTTCTTGTTATGTTTCTTGAAATGGCAAATGCAAATATTATGGGTGGTTTTATTATTATTTCTGAATAAAGATGTTGATGGAGAAAGGAGTTGTTTAGGTCAACGGAGTTGTTTAGGTCAACGTTTACTTGGTCAATGTTTGAATTTTAATACAAAGTTGTTGATTTTTCCTAGAAAAGTCTAATAATTAGTATAATATTTTTCCAGGTAATATTTTGATAAAAAATCATTTTTTGAGGCTAACAGGGTTTGGAATCGAAAATTAGTCTTTAACTGGTTACCTAAGTATTTAAATGTTTAAAATTTTACATCTTAGATATTGAAATGGAAGTTTTATAAATACGTTATTCAAAATAGAAATCAAATTAAAGTACGTTATTTTTTTTCATACAATTTTCCCTATTATATAATAGTTGCATCTAATTTAAATTCTATTCTTTGGTTTCAAACAAATGGCATAGGATTAGGATCGTGTGAGAAGAAGAGTTAAGGTGAGAAAAGTAAGCAGCCATATCTTGAAGTTGTCTATCATGTTCCTCCTCCCTCTGTCGTTGTCGCTCCTCCGCCGCCCGCCATCGCTCCTCCTCCGTCAAATGTCGCTCCTCCTCCGCCGCCCGCTGTCGCTCCTCCGCCGCCCGCCATCGCTCCTCCTCCGCCAAACGT